TTAATCTTTAAAATTAAGTATATTAATGTATATATAGTTATAATACCCGTATTTTAGTAACTTTAGAATTGTGAGCAAAACCATCCCCATCTCCTTTTTGTAAAGAGCTATTTGATAGAATAAAAAACTAATTAATAATTATGAACCCTGGGGAAAAAATTGTGAAGAATATTGAAAAAACAGTATAAATTAATTGTATAATTTGAGCCAAAAATTAAAATATTTAAAAAGTAAATAAATTACTATTAAGTAGAGATTATCTATGATGGAATAGCCCTCAGTATGTTTTAATCCTTTGATCTAAACGTTTTAAGATGTTACAAGGACATTATAATTTCTGGGTATTTTCATGTATCTGTGTTTTAGTTTTCTAGAAAATGGCTTTATGTATATGAGCTGTTGGCAATACCAGTCTTACTGTTTTTATGAACCTTAATTACATGCAATATTGTATAGTAAGTCCATAGATTCAAGACATCTTGAAGTAGCAGCTTAAACTTGTACCGTTGACTCTGGCCAAAGAGCCAGGGTTATATCCCTTTATCATTTTTCCGCCACATTCATTTGACCATGCTTTCCATCTACTCGGTTGTCTCTCTTTCTTGGATTCTCCTTAGAGTTGTGATGTTGCTTGACACTTTCAAATTTGGGAGCTGTGTCTTTCATAATACTTTGATTGCTGCCTCCACTCAAAATTGAGTGCAAAGTGAGCAACCATAGGGTTTGTTCTAGCCAAGGCTTCGCATATGTGCATTATGCTAATTGGCTAATTCCTTTCAAGCTTCATGATGATTAAGTTAGTATGGGTTAATTAATTTTTGATACTGCTATTACAATATTTCTTGGAAGTACATTTTGTTTTGATATAATGTGTCTTACATTATTGGGGACTTCATGGCTTAAGAAGTAAAAGTGAGACAGATATCTAGGGTTTGAGCTCTTCTGCTTGACTTTGATTTTGGATGGATGATGAAAATGGAAGAGGCAGCATGATTTTAACATGTTAATCTTCACCATGTGATCGAGAGCACTTTTTAAAGTACATATTGGGTTTTTTAGTGAGGTAAGTGGAAAAGCAATGCAAAATGCATCTCCTTGATTTCAAAATTGGCTCAGCGAATTTTGTTAAGAGGCCTTTAAAATAATCCACTTTCTGCCAAACCAAAGAAGAAACATTAGGAACCAAAACACCAACATGTGAGTCAAGGGCAAAAGTAGAACCACTGCAGGAGGTCTGATTTAATCTGCTTCTACCTTTGCAACAATATCATAAGTTTTAATTTAAGTGATTCATATAAAATTACAATGCAACTGGGAGCTTTAATATGTTTTTTATATAATTTAAAACAATGCCTTTCATAGCTGCCAAAAAAACCCTCTTAAAACTGCTGGCCACTGGCTCTCTCCTCTTCTGGCTTCCCTCCTAGCCATGTCTTGGCTGCTTTCCAGAACTGCCAACTTTCCCTGAGTAGCTGGATGGAGATTTGTATGGAGCAAGAGGGATTTTGGAGCTCTGGTAGATTTTCAAGTCCAGATGGGCAAAGATGATGAGCGGCAGTATGTGCTACGTACATTGGTGATGTCAGCATGCCTTGCAAACACTGCCACCATCAGAATAATGCACTGATGTTAACCAAGGCTGAGTGCCCTGTCACGAGATATCGCATGTTGGGAAGTGTAAATTTTACAAATTCACTATGAATAATTATGTTCATTCCCTGTGCCCAAGTATGCACCATACAATTGAATCCCTCGCTCTAGTGCGATTAAAACGTTTTGCCTGATGCTGTAAGACTGAGGCAACCAGAATCCAAGTGAACACAAAATGGAGCTTCAGGCTCCAAGGCCTGTGCAGAAAGCATCCTGCTGAATCTCTTCAAACACATGGGATGGTTAGGACAATTTATTGACCGTGCTGCGTTCTCCATAAAGTACATTGCTGGTTTTTATGCTTTCCGTTTTTTTTTTAAGCTGGTAACTTTGGATTCTTTTTTCAATCAAAAATGGCTTCTCAATCGAAAAACCATTTAGTATTGTTATTACTATTATTATTTAAAGACCATTAAAATGGGGGAAATTTAAGATGATATTAAGGAGATAGAGAGGGGCGTGCATTTTACTCTTTATAAATAAAAGTATTGGCATAAAAGCAACTTGTAATACAATTTTAAAACTTTTTTATGCTGCATGTTCCCCTACAGAAATATGTGTTTTGGTCCCAGATCAAACCAGAAGAATGGATGAGCTTATAATGAAAATAAAGGTTAACTCAGTCAAAAATGGAGCAGGTCTTAACCATATATAATTTCCCAGGCCCTGTACCATGTAGTCATCCTCTTGATAGCTGCACAACTCTCCCATTCGAAGTGGCTTCCTGCACAATTTAAAACAAACTGTTTACCAAAATTAGCATGCAGAGAGCAGTAAGAGTCATTGTTAAATATAAGTCCTTTAATGTTAATGGTTTATTTTTGCTCTTTCACTTCATTCAAGCATCTACGATAGAACTCGGTTTGTTTTTAATAGCTAGGTGGTAAGCCTCTGCAAGTCAAAAATGAAACAGTGAAAGATGGTTACCAACTTCCTGGGGAAGGAGGGACTCCTAGATAGATAGCACTTCGTGCTGCCAAAGCCTGGAGCAGTTACAGTTCACTTGTTTCTCCTCCAGACTGGCTACTAGATTTCCTTCTAGATATCATTCCAGCTGATGATGGAGTTTTAAAAGTAATAATGATAGCCAGCTATTATGGAAGTAATTGGTGAGAAAGTAAGATATAACAGAGAGAGAGAGAGAGAGAGAGAGAGAGAGAGAGAGAGAGAAGAGACCCTCTTTAGCTAAATAGAGAGTAGATGAACCAGTCTGAATCCTCCTAATGAGATGGAGGAAATAATCCTAATTTTTAAAATATGCAGAGATTTCATAACAGTCACATATCTACATACCCTCTGTGATGCCTTTTTAGAGTCATTGAAAAAGATGACTTAGGTGACTTAAATGCCAGTTAGAGTCCAGCTAAGCTATTTCTTTCATCCCTACAGTTTCCAATATCTAGATCCTAAACTTAGGCTTACTTATTTCTAGAAAGACAATAGCAAAGCTGCCATCTTTGATTAAGAAATTTGTCAGGACATTAACAAATGTTCATCTGTAATCCATGACAGTGGAACTTATCCTACTTGAGCTTATCCCAAAAGTGAGGGCTGAAGAAGTGATGAGCGCCTGCTGGTTGTCTTTCCTTATCTCCCACTTGTTCTCACCCTCCAATACTGACCTGCCCCCACCCCAACATTGTTCAATACTAAGCACAATGAATCATTTTCAAGTTGACTCACTGTGAACTGTCTCCCAGCTGTTGGAATGTCTGGCAGACATTTTTGTTTGGGTGAAGAATAACTGGCTGAAACCCAACCTGGATGAGTTTGATATAGTGGTCTTTGGCTAAAGAAATGCTGAAAAGGATGTGTATTTAGCATATGAAGACACTGTTATTCTGGAGTAGGATTATCTCCAGTGGGAAATGGATGGAAATAAGTAATCAATCTGAGTTCTTTTCTCACATTACATAGAAAACCCTCTAAAGAAGATATGGACACATATACATACAAATACATATTCTCAAGTCTAAGTTGTGCTATTGTTTTTGCTTGTTCCTCAGGTTTGATTTTTTTTTAAATTTTAATTGTTTTTGCTGGATTTTTTGAAAAAAGACAAATGTGCCTTCCTACTTATGGAAAACCCCTTAAGCCACATGTAGTGTAGGTAGGCAAGAAATTTCAGCATAATGCCTTGGCCATCATTGGTCCTTCCTCATCTATGGAAACAAGTAAAGGATTTGCTACATTTTCTTAACTATTTGAATTTATATTTCTTTATTCAATGCTCATTTTAAACCATTAGTCTAATCCTCTAATTAGTCACCCAGCATTTAATAAGTATCTACTGTGTACCAAGCACTAAGATACAAAGAAAAGGAGAAGATATTTTGGACCAGTGTTTGAAATGGGGACTTCATAAAATATTAAATCAAATTAAATGAGTAAAAATGTCCTCAACTTACAGCAAACTTTTCAAAATAAACATGTCTAAGACATTCTCATACATAACATTTTTCTGGTCTAATCCCTGTCAAAATCTAAAAGTCATACTCAGTCTTTATGTTTTATAGTTGAGTGAGTTGTCAAGACTTTGCAAGGTGGATACTTACATTCAGATAGACATAGAATTCTGAGTATTTTCAGAGCCATTGCTGCTCCGCAGATGGATATACTCTAGGAATTTAGCTTTCAGTTATTTATGACACAATTCAGTGTTGTAATAACAGGATTCATTGTTAGCATTGATGATAATGCAGTATTTTGGTACAGCTGGTATTGCCTCAAGAGGAACAAACCAGGGACTCTTTGTTGGTCCTGTGTTGGTTGCTCGTCTTCTTTACTGTGCCTTTGTTCTTGACCCAATTACCGAGGGGCAGCATTTGGAGACAGGGCAGGGAGACTCAGTAACCCAACAAGACCTGCAGTCTCTTAGCTGGATCCTTCAGGGCTTCTTCTATTCCATAGTAAGACCTCAGCTGTTGCAGGCCTATGAGCCCATCCCAGCTGACAGGCGGCAAGGAGACCTCTGCCTGATCCTGAATAGTATTCCCTGCTACTCCCTTGATTTCTGTTGTCTGCCAAGCCCCCAAGAGGTGGTGGGTGAAGCGGCCTGGGAATCAAGAAGCTCTACTGATGAGCACAGCCTTAACCTAAAGACAGCAGAAAACCAGCTCCTGTTCACTACTGAGACCAGACCTGGCCCCTGCAAATGGTCTTGCATGTGGTGCTGACTCAGGCATCGCTTCCCACAGTGACAGCTATATGAAGCATTCTACTTTATTTCTCCATTTTTTCCCTATTTTACTCCAGTCTGTCAATAATAAATAAAATCTTATTGTATGAATGTTGCTTATATTTGTGAAATTAAAATATTTGTAAAATTAGTATTTTTCCATGTTTTACAGAATAAAGCAATTACTGCAAGAATTAGAAGCTTGTCGGATACAGTAGTTGGTCTTGAATCATTTCTCGGTTCTGAGAGAGAAGCCAATTCTCTATATAAGGATTTCCATGGTAAGTACCATTTTTTAGTACTTGGAAATATCTTGTCCAATTGTAATATCTGTGATTCACCAGCATTTGATTTCATTTCGAGTCTACTTCTTAACTGGTACCTCCTTTGTGACTAGTCCTGAGTTAGGCTATTTTTCAGCAAAGTGCATTAAGGCTGCAGAAGAAGCATGGCCACTCCTTGCATGTTGTCAAGCCCTATTACTAAGGCATAGCTCAGTCAGATGTACATCTTAACAGGCAGGTTCTGGGGAATTCACATGGAGAGGAGATTGGGCAATAATGTGAACAGGGAGCTAAAATTGCAGTGAAATCAATAGTTTTCATCTGCTAGGTTTCAAACTGAAGTAATAATGTGTATGCTGAAGTGAATAAATGTACACGTTTATATTATTTAAAATTTACTACGTACAAAATTTGCTTCTCCTGGCAGTTTTTCTTTTCACTTGCAAAAAGGTTATTTATCACAAATCATCTCTTTTGTTAAATCAGTTCAAAATAACTTTGGCCTACTCGAGCAGCAACACATCAGTTTCTCAGTTGTAACTGATTTGTTGCTATGCTTGTAGTTAGGCATTTGGGGACCAAATTTTCAAAAGTTTAAAAAACAAAAAAGATTCTTGTAGTAGAACTGCCAAAAGACTAGAAGATATGCATGGCTCCGATCTAAAATGGATACAGAAAACTGAATAGCAAACGGTTTCTAAGCTAATCCAGAATGGTGCCCTGAGTTTGCATAAATTACTGATGTGATGATTGTGGCAGTCAGCGCTGTGGTCCCATGGAAACCTCCCGCCCAGCGGCTGACTGCCGCTCATTGGAAGGAAGCCTGCAAGAAGCCTTCGAGACAGCGGCCCTGTTTGCCACTCACCCTGGCTTTTGCAAGAAATTGGGTAGAGATAATAAGGACACTAAAAACAGCAAATTCCATCTGTACTTGCTAAAGTCAGTGTCCACACCCTCCCATCAGTTTATCCTGGCCTTCCAATAGCTACTTGAAGAGATGAGCTTGGGACAAAACCTGCTCCAGAGCTTGCTTGCCTGCTTGTGTCAGAGCTTCCTGGGTGACGTGTGCACACTGACATGCGATGGATTTATCCTTAGAGCTAATCATTCTTACTAGGAGAGGAGAATTTTGAGGTTATTTTCTGCAAGATCTTTTTTTTTTGAACATAAGGGATTTTTTTTTCATGTTCTTTGAAAACGTTCATGTCAAATGTTGTTGGGGTTTTGTTGTTGTTTTGGGTTTTTTTGTCCATCCATTATAATGTAACTATTATAAGCCTTAAGGATTGAGTGATAATGATGCCATTTGGTATTTCCGAAGTCTCCCAGATTCTTATGATTAAAATTGTGTTCACAGTTAACAGGGTCTGCTCTTTGCTGCATATTGGGCACTCAGGGCTGAGGATTAGGCTGGGCTCTGTTGCTCAAAGTTTTCAGCTGAAGTTATTCATTTCACTCTGCAAGAAACTCAGAGGTACCAGCTGGCCAAACAGCTCTGTAGGAAAAGGGCCAGAGGTCAGAATAAGTAACAGTCAAATAAAAGGATGGCCACCAGGCAGTTTTATTCCAATGAATTTGCTTATTGAAGTGAAGTCTGAGATGGTGCCAGCTGTACTTTTTAGTTGCAGACCTAAGGGCTGTCTGCCCAAATCTTACCTCTCAGCTAGGTGATAGATAGATAATTTCTTCCAAATAAGAAATTCCCTCTCTTACCTCCCCCCCCCGAAGGCCATCTATTGTGTTTGAGAATATTTTTCCACAGATGGATGTAGTGCAGTTGGAAGTTAGTAAAGTACACTGTACAACACATTCCCCCTCCTAAGCCCCCAAACAGCCTGAAATGGCTGCACCCGGCTATGTGTGTGTGTGTGTGTGTGTGTGTGTGTGTGTGTGTGTGTGTCATTGCAAGTGCTCTATCATCAAATTTCTTGTCTGATATGCAGCAGTTTGGAATTGGTCTCCCTCACTTGCTTAGAGTTCAGATGCCTTGCAATGAAAACTACTAAAGAGGGAAGAAGCTTCGGCAGAGAAAAGTTAGTAAAGAACGTTCCTGGTTTTCATCTGTGGAAAATGACCCTGGAAGGGTTGTTCAGAAACTACATTAAGCTGCACTAAAACCCTCCAATGTCCTTGTCAGAAAAAATCAGCTTGACTCTCCATTGACAAGAGAGGGCAGAGCTCACCGTCTGCCCGCTGCTGCTATAAAGCTCCTCACAGCTCCAGGGAGATCTGACGCGGGGCTTGGGGTGGCATTGAGGTTTGTGCTCCAGCCTCGAGTGTACTCTGAAATGTAATTTCCTCCCCCGGTTTGGTCAAGTCATTAATGAGGGGCACGATGAAATACTTTTCATGAGCGCTTCCCCAGTTATCAGTCACCCCCAAGCCTTGTTTTGCCGGCTGCTTACTGGTGCATTTAATAAAATAAAGATCGCTCAGTGGTGCAGTGGGCAGCGGGCAAGGTGATAGCCGTGTTTGCTTACTGTAAATACAAGCGGAAATCACACACAAACCGGCTGTAGTTTTGACAAGTATTAAGATCCCTCTTTACATCTGTACTTCTGTACCAAAGTGCAATTAGTTTTCCTCGCACAAGGATTTCTGTTTATCTTATTCTGCTTGATTACTTGAGTATAATCGCACCGTTTGCTTCATTGCTCCTGGTAGTAAGCTCCAGTTTAAAAAGGGGAGGATGCGTGTGTAAATATACAGAATTCTGCTGTCAGACTCTCTAATTTATGCATCTGATGACAGCGTTTTCTCAATTTTTTTCTTTTAATTTCCTTTCTGCAAGGTTTGATTCACATACACCAGATCCCCCGGCTCAATAGCCTGATTGGCGATGTGTCCGACACGAAGGACCTTGCTTTCAAACTCCAAAGGAAAGTCTTCACCATTGAGGTAAGAGACAGAAGCCCCTCTGCTTCTGTGTATTCTGAAAGGAAGTGGGATCTCTGATCTTTATGCGTAATTGTAGGGAATACTTTGCATATTTCTCTTTTGTTTGGGGGGATGATTTCTGAACCCTTTGGATAGAGTTTTTGTCTTATTTTTGCTCTGTAAAAATGTTCATGATTTTACTATACAAAATCAGACAATTAATTTTTGGTTTTAAATATGTAAAAAAAACACAAAAACCAACCCTGTAAACTTTGGTAATAAATATAACCTGCTTCCAAAGATATCCGGAGAAATTTTAATTAAACATGAATGATTCACCCTTGCTTGTGGGTGGGAAAGTAGCTCTTCGCTGTTGCCCTCATAGGGATGTTTTCATTTGTGAAAGATGTACCTCCCGGGCTGCAGGGCTCAGGGAGGAGTCGAGATCAGCACTTGGAAACCGTTTTTCTTCCCTGTTACTGAAGTCACCTTTAGCTCTTGCATGTCATTTTAAATGCAGTATCATTTACACTAATATCCTTAAGTAAATTTCTAAATTTAAACTTTTTTCACTGTGATTTTTATGTAAGCAAATACTGACAGAAGGCAGTAATATAAAAGATTTATTTCAGCCTAATCTGGCAAAGAGCAGTGGAATATAGAACTATTAAGCTATATTTACCCATGAAATAAAGGCTCGAGAGACCAGCCAGACAGCATGGTGAGTGTGATGTGACAGTTATCGGTATACTGGGTGCTATTTTTTTTTCCTTTTTTTTTTTTAACAAAGACATAAAACAGCCAGGCAGCCCTGACAAACCATTTTGTTTAATCTCTTTTCAAATGAAAAGCTTTTAAGCAGGCCACTTGTCTTAACTGCTTGAAACCATAAAAAGGGAGAATTGCCACCAATAAATTAGCATATTTTTTACTTCATCACCAAATGATGGTCAATGTGGCTTGGCACTGCTTTGGTGTTTGGGACTTCACCCTTAAGTGACCACTTTGGCCCTTCTGTGACCCTCTGGCCTCTTTAGCTGGCCACTTGATAAGGTAACTTAATGGTGCTCTCTCTTTTTCTCTTTCCCTTCACATTTGCAAGTAGCACTAACCTATAAATCATTGTAAGGGCCCTATCAAGTGACAAATTAAGGTGCCCTCCTCCTAATTAATGGTCATCAGTGTCCTTAATTATCTAATCCTATTGAGAGCAGTTAATAGTTAATCAGGCAGCCGATTCTTTAAGCAGGTCATCTCTGCATGAGTGCTAGAAGTTTCTCATCTGAGGATATTCCCTTCAAAAGCCACTTAAAGCCAAATGAAGGAGACCGTAGAAATAGTGATTCCTTTACTAATTTGTTTCACTTCTCAAGAGACAGTTGAAATAGAACCCAACACTATAATTGTTCAGGCATTGTTTCACTTCTGATACTTCTAAGATTTGTACCAAAATGTTTATGCAACAGTTTTAGGAGGATAAAATTATAACTTTATCCTAGCATAGAAAAGCAGGCCTCATAATTTTCTTTTAAGTTAAATTTATATTAATAAGATAGATTGATTTTTTTTTTCTTAGTATGATCCCAGCCTCACAAGATGATTTTTCTGACAGCCAAATCTAAGGTTGCCACTTCCTGTTGCTATAAAAACCTAGCCAGGAGGCCCCCTTTCAAAGTATTTTAATGGCCCAGGGACAGAACAGTGTGTATCAGGGGTGTTCTGAAAACTCTTTGAAAGAAAAAAAAATAAAACTATTGTTCTGGAAATAGACAGATTAAACACTGAGATGATATCAACCAATATATTTCAGGTAGGTCTTCATTTCAGTAATTTCAGGTGTTGGAGGGAATAAATTTTCTGCAACAGGAGCTAAAGATGAATCCCGGTTATTGTCATTCTACCTACGATGGATTTTGCCAGGGTGGAGAAGTGGTATTTTGAAAGGAGGCAAACAAACAAATGAAGAGCCTTATGAAATTGCAAAGGCAGAAATCACGCAGGACCCATAAGAATGGCGCGTGTAGCACATTTCTGTCTAACGGTCAAGCCAGGGCCTCTTTGTAGTTTGTAGCCATACAAAGTGGTGCATGAAGTAGGTCCCAACTAATTTGTGTATCTGCACTGCCATTTTCAATGTGGCCATGAAATAAAAATATTCGCATAATATTCACATAATTGATAACTAGTCCGATAGAGCAGTGTCAATAATCATGCAATACACATAAGATTAGATTGTGTCCAAATATCATGTCGAAGTCGTATAATATAACATACATCTGGAAGGATGACACCAAAATTGTGTTTGAACTCATATGTTTAAAACTAAGATAGAATTGGTTATGGTTTGAAAGTGCATTTCTCAGAGATTATTTTATTGGAAAAATAATTCATCAAGTGGCATATTTTTTTTATGTGGATCAAGTATAAATCCCTTTTAATTCTTGAGCATGCTGTCTAAAGAAGCAAGCCCTGACCCGACCTCTGAAGTCTTCTTTAGTTTGAAGCTCTAATATTCAGTAATGAGCCTGATGCTCCTTCTAAATGGAACATTGGCTCCAAGGAGAAAGATCTTTCTTCTCTCCATAGAGACAGTTGTTGCATAGGGCTCCTGGGCTAGGATGGAACCTCATCCCCAATGTCCCTTAGCGGAGAGAATTGGGGGATAGGAGGAAATGAGCCAGGAAATCCCCCTGGCCTAAGGTTCTTTTGAACATCTTTTTCTCCTTTTTTTTGAATCCTTACCTTAGCCTGTTCCCGTTTGTCCTTACGTATGTAAAGAACATGAAAAAGTCGTGTAGTCATCTCACTCTGCTTTGTGTGAGACTGATTTTTATCAGGTCTTTCCTTTCATTAGAATGTAAGCTTCTGGAAGGCAGAGCCTCTGCCATTCTGTCCTGTATCCTCCAGCACAACGCCTTGCACAGATGCCTAATCAGTGTTCACTGAACACATATTTTGGCAGCAGTCACTTGAAGAACTTGGCATTTCTTAAGTACTTATTTTGTGCCTGAGGGCTGTGTGTTGGGGGTACCAAGGAGCAGCAAAAACCTGACTTTGAGATGGTTTCCTGGGTAATTTGAAGCAGGTGGAGGGGAGCCTTTTTTTCTTGTTTTGAACTAGGAAAATATGGTCCAGTGTTCTCTCAAGCTTAAGTTGAAGAATCTGTTGGAATGTAATACATTGTATTCTCCAGCATTGTGTCAACTAGCACTGTCTAGAATGATGATAATTTTTGTTCCTAATGATACCAAGGAGCTATGAATACTTAGATGAACTACAAAAAATGTCACAAGCCGTACAACCCGAGGACTCAGGCCTTTTGCATTACTGCCAATGATGATAGATCCATATGCTCAGCTAGTAAACTTGAAACCACTGAGGAAATAGTTTAACTTAGATGTTCGTAAATCTGTATTTGCTTAGGATTTTCTGCTTTAACAATTACAATGAATCCATTGTGACTATGAGGAAAAGGCTTTAGAAACCTTAAAGTGCTATAAAAATATGAGACAATATTGTTGTTCCTAAAAGAAAATGAAATGTGATTTTAAAAGACAATTTAGCTCTCTGCTTAGTCAATTCTAGACTGTTTCCGGGTTTTCATTTGCAAATGTCATTCAACCAGGCATTATTCCTACCTGCTATCATTATCATTTTCAAGGTCCCAGCTTTACACATTCTGCAGTTATCCCTTCCACATCACGACTTTCCCCATCACGGTTTTCCCCATCAGGGTTTTGATATATCACAGATTGGCATAAGAAATTAAATGGGAATTTGGGAGTTTTACAGAAGCCATAGATGACAGGCAAAGGCCAACAGCCAACAGCCAACACGGGAAAAGTTTAGAAACTTAGAATTGCATAAAATATATGTACAGTATTATATAATAGCAACATATTTTATCCTTTAATACCATAATAATTCAAACTTTATCTCTGGTATAAAGGGAGGGCCAGAAAATTTTGCAAGGATTTTCCAGATCCTGAGGACACCATGCCCCTAACTCCCCACGATGTGGAAGGGATAATTGTAATAGTTTAAAATGGACACATTTCCACTAAAGTATTACTACAAAGCCTCATGGAATGGAGTTCCAATTCCATGAGGTTCTGCCAGGACGAGTGCAGCAAGAGACCAGATTTGTGTTGTCAACAAGCCTGCAAGCTTTTATCAAGTACCTACTATGTGCCAGGCACTGTACTAAGGATACAAAGAAAAGCAAAAAGTCCCTTCCGTCCTGGTATCCACAGGCTGATTGTCTGAGTGCCAGACTAGCTAAAGGCAGAGGTGCCCACCATCATTCTGAGATTCTAACTTTATATTGTGTATAGAAAAGTAAATAACACTCTGTGTGTGTGTATACATATATATATATATATATATATGTATATATATATATATACACACACATATATATATATATATGTATGTATATATGACATTGCTATGTGCTTTTAAACCAAAGGTGAGAATATTAACTGTTACGTAAGGTATAAATATATGGGTCTGTTGGTTTAACTGAAGCATGAGGAGAGCTCCAAGAATATCTGAATTAAGCCTTATCTCAGCTTCAGAGGTTGCTTAATCATAAATTGACAGCAGCTAAGAAAGCCTCAATTGATATACATGTGCCATCAAAGAGAGATTCTATAGTTATTGAACTTTTATTGTTATAATGAAAGCAGCTAGGTGGTGCAGTGGATAGAGTGCTGGGCCAGGAGTCAGGAAGGTCTGAGTTCAAATGTGGCCTCAGCCTTACTAGCAGTGTGACCCTGGGCAAGTCACTTAACCTCTGTTTGCCTTAATCCACTGGAGAAGGAAATGGCAAACTACTCCAGTATCCTCATCGAGAAAACCCCATATACATTATTGGTTTGTGCAGTGGGCTATGGTCATGAAGAGTTGGACCCAACTGAAATAACAGTTTTTATAATGTCCCCACATAATAGAAACCATCCTGAAGATCTTTTCTTGTCCTCTTCACCCCTCCCTGCCCTGTCCCTAGCCCCACCACCACC